CGCCAATTTTATTCTATAAATGTGTCAAATATAAAAATACTTAACTTCACAAATGAATTAAATGTTGTTTTATAAACTTTTACTAGAAACGAAGTTTATTTGAGTAATGAAAACAATTAGTAACACTGGAAGATTTATAAAGAACATTGTTTGAAAAGGAATGGGCGAAGAAAACAAGTAGTGCGATTTTTTCCTCGTAAGTGCAGGAAAAAGTAATACTAGATAACAAAAAGCTATAATGAAGTAAAAGCGATTAATGAAAATTCTTTGATCGTAAACCTTTTGCATTTTTAAGGCAAATTACAGAAGCCAGATCACAGCATTACGGCACAAAGAGCTGTCTAATTTACTTTGAAAAACAATACATTTTTGGAGTGTACTTTTCAAAGAAGGAATTTAAATGTCTGCACAAAATAGAATATTGAAAAGTGTTTTTCGATGAATTGTAATTTAATTTATAAAGATGAAAACTCTTCAAAATCCCTTTATAATTATTGAATTATAATTTTGAATATATACATAGTTCATGAAGTGGTAAAGTAAATAAGAACACTTTCATAGAAGATTGAATTGTGTACTTTTTATATGAGTGTTGCAGACTTGCTGTTTACTCCCAAGTAGTACTATTATTACTTTCAAACAGGACCACAATATTTCACACGATATTACTCTAGGACCGTTTTATTGCTGTTTTATCTTTTAACCACACAACCATGCGGTGAAATAGAAATTATAATAATATTTATTTGTACGTGTTTCTATTTCATAATTCATGATTTTTATTAGGGTTAAGTTTAATTCTAAATTATATTTTACAGCAATAATAATGATTTATACCATATACAGGGTGACTGGTGAATTACTATCGATATTTGAGGACGTGATTTGTGACGATCATATATGACAAAATAAAAATTAATATAACATAAATATTAATAAACTTCTAAGTAAAGTTAACCAAAAGTTATGTAATTAATTACGCATCGTGTAAACACCCTACAGATTAGATATACACCCACACTCACACATACGAGTGCGGCGGCGTTGTGTTGTATCAGCACGCCGCCGCACTCATCCACACTTACAACACTTGAAACGTGTCAACACTTTATTTATTTATACGGAAATTTGGTCAAAAATTAAGTACCTATTTTTTTTTACATAATTCGAATGAGAATCATGTACCGAGTATCCTCCTTAAATATTGATAGTAATTCACCAGTCACCCTGTATATATGAGTCAGTGGTTGCCTAGTGGTTAAAAGGCCCGCACCTCATGCACGAGGGCGCGGATTCGATCCTGGCCCTGGCAGTACCAATGTGATTTTTCCGTGTATGTACTTTCTAAGAGTATTTCGACATCACTGATTAATGCAACCCCAAAGAGTTTTGATGTCAGGCAGAAGGCCGTTCGTAAAAACAATTAGCCAAAACTATACACAACATGTAAGACAGACCCTGGCTAAAGCTGGTAAAATTGGCAGGTAGAAAAAAATATGTATATATATATATATATATATATATATATAATATAAATAAAAAAAATATGTAATGCTTGAGTCAACTGGTTTTGTATGATATATTTAAATATACATAAATAGGTTTTATTGAACTCATATTCTGACCAAAAAACATATATATTTAACAATTCATTTATAACAATGTCAAGTTCTATAATAAATAAAGTCGTTACTTTTTATGTTTTCCTATTTTATTTCATGACTTATTGCGTAAAATTTTTCAATTCTATGTCAACAGAAATTCGATTTGAAAAGCTCTTTACATTTGATCTTCACACAATGTTAAGGGACCAAAGATCTATGTAATTTAGGTTACAAGTTGATAACTTCGATCTAAGATATTTTTTTGTTGACAAAAGAAACCTATGTAAAAAAATTCTGAGTAAAAATTAATCTAAAATGTCATAGAAATTCTGAATTAACTTCATGTTTGTTAAATAAATAGTATTGATTTAAAATTAAGGAATATATTAGAACAGTGTTTAATGATACTAGGAGATATGAATATAGGATTTTTTTATATAAAGACAAAATCATAATTTCTGTGATATAAGAGACTATTCTGTGAGAGCAGAAATAGTTTTATCTCAGGGAAGAGAAATTGCATTGGAGTATTTAGTCTACCGACACATGTGACACACTTCTGATTGCAAATCACTTACATACCTACATGTTAGTTTCTCTTTCCAGTTTCAGAACCACTATAACCAATTTCACAAAGACTTTACACTGAATTCATATGAGTTGTATCAGCAGTTTTTCGCAATATCTCACTTAATTTACTGAATTGTAGATTATACCATAAAATTAACAAGATTGCCATGAAAATTCAATATTTTTTTGCGTGTTCATAAAAGCTCTCCATATGAAAAAAATATATACAAATGGTGGAATGTAGTGGATTTAAATTCAGACAGCAAATAAATCTTTCTTGAAGAGTCATTGAGAAAGAAACAGCCGTCATTTCGCATTCCTTCTTCGCAAATATTTGTCGAAAGCTTCAAATAACGCCCGCAAATTAAAAGCCTGTACATTTTTGGAGAATCTGTTATACAATTCCATCATTTGCAAGTCTTTAACAGTCTGATAAGGTTGGCCCTTCACGTGGTAGTATGCAATCTTTATTTAAGAATAACTATTCATCAAATATTTTTTTTTACCGACTGGCTGATATAAATTTTCAAGTGTGTTATAATAAAGCGTATAGAATATTTTTTAGTTATTATTTTAATAAAATACTTTTACTCTAGTCTATTTGATTCAAACGTTAGATTAATTTTATTAACATGACAATAATTATGATCAAATATTTATTAATATAAAAAAATATTAATAATATAAATTTATTGTCAAAGTAAACCTTATTTTATTTATTGAAGATAATATACATAAATATTAGAATGAGAGCATAAATTTACAGAACCACTATCTATTTCCAAAAACGGATTCATTTTGATGTTTTTTTTTAACTGTGTTTTATTTCTGTGTGGTTGTTTTAACTCTATACACTTCCAGTTTTGTCGGATTTTACCGAACGTTTCGATTACTGTTCATTTCGATTTCGATCTCATCTTCCTGATCACGGATACTGAGAGTCGAAACGTGGGGTTAAAACTAAAATATATAACTTACTCGAAATGAATCGGAAAAATGTAGTTTTATTTTAAATTGCTACACATAAAAAACATATATTTTATAATTATGCATTATACAGCATTATGTCAATGTATATTTGTCATTTTATTGGACTTAATACAATTTAATTTGTTTACATATTTCAGTTGTTTTATAGAAATAATGTATAAATACAAATATTAGTCATATTAAAATTCATTTTTTTAGATTACATGGAAATTATTATTATATGTATATAATTTTATGGATAACGGGATATAATGTGGCGAAAATCTGATTGGAAATTATCTATTATCAGTACAATTTATTGTCACGTTTTTATAATATCCAAAGCGTTATTTTTATTAAAAACTTATGACAGTGTTTTAAAATAAGCCATAAATAATATTCAAGACGGCAAATAAACAAACAAGTTTCATCTTATAGAAAAAAATAACCATATAATTAGAAAAACCTTTGAGAGGATCCATTTCTAAGCCCTGAAATAAAAACGAGTGATATAATTTCAATGTTGCGTTTTCGTGTCCTAGCATAAAATGAATCTAAGTGACTTGCTAGAAATAAAACCCTGAGGCGGAAGGTGATAATATAATCTCGACAGAGGAACTCTTTCATGTACTCGTGATTCTCCAGAACAGTTTCTATTTGATAGAATTTAATATACATACATACATAACTTCAAATGTACATTAGGAAGTAAAAGGGTCCGCGTATATTTCTTTTTATAAACATTCACTTGTTTTTATTAAATTTTGAATATATAGTAAGATTAATTCTTCGTAATGAGCTTTGGAATGTTGAAATATAATTAAATTGTTTACTTTTCAGTAAAATCCTACTTTTGAAACCCGTTTCATTAAAGACTTCAATTATGTGCTATTTTGGATGATAGTAATCATTTCATTCTTCTTCTTTAAGTTTACTTTTCAATTTGTTACCTAATGAAGGAAAAGGTTAGAATTATTTATTTTGTCAAAATAAGTTCAAGTAAAAGCTATAAATTAGTTTTCATTTTGGCTTTATATTGATTAACTTAACAAAAATATAGTAAATAAATTACTTTCAATAAGAATTTTACGTAAAAATGTCTGCTAAATATATCGAGTTGGCAGTCGTTTAGTAAGATGTCACTAATTCACTTCCATAAATTAATAGTGTGAGTATTCAAATCACATTTAACTTTCTTCACTATGTGCTTGTTTGAAGCAGTTGACATCCATTGTTTGTAAGTATTATGATCATTTCAAAGGTTATATTAAATAAAACATTATTGTTATATTATATTAATATTTGGACAGACATGAGGATAAAGTCCTTTGATATCACAAAAGTAATATATTCGAGTCTACTCATGTATAAGTCTAGACCTAAAATAAATAGCATACCTGTTCCATTTGTACTGTAAGAAACGGAAAATAAATTCAAGAAATATTTTCTGAGAATAAGCATTTTATGAACACGGTAGATTTAAAATGCACATCTCGAGAGAAAAATGACTGAAGATAGTAATATAGAGGTGCACAGATATTAAAAAATATTACATATATTCAAAAAACAATTACCCCTTTATTGATAATAAAGTTTTTTTTAATTATAAAATAATTTGTACACAAATGTGGTATGAAAACAAATATAAGTCTATCAAAATAGCTTTCATTATGAATCATCAAATATTCCTTCAGTGGTCGTAATTCAAGATTAACGACGTATTTCATATAACACGATTACTTCATTTAATTTACTTAAACAAACTCATACGATTATAGTTTTGTAAGCTTCACTGTTCACGATAACTCAATTGTAAAGATAAGCAAAGGTAAATGTAATATATATTGAAAGGCTCACCGCTTCACTATGTATGGGATGTACAGCGAATAACAGGGCGGCGAGTGCTGCGAAAGGTCGTCTTAGCCGCGCGACGACCGCACCCGTGCGTGCGACAAGGACGCAGCAAGCGGCGTGTAGCGCGATGTTGCATGCATGCCACCACCATACCGACAGCCCGCAGAGCGCGAAGTTTAACCTGCAATAAAATTTTATTCAAACCTCACTTCTATACGGTTGAAAAATACTATCGTTTTAAATTTTATGGCTGTGGATGGGTCTTGATAATTTTTATGACAATCCTATATAAAATTACTTAACATCCATTATAGATGTCCGAATATAAAGATGATGTTTGAATTTGTTTCAAGGCCCCCCGACCCAATTTAAAACTTAATTACAAAGGTTGTTGAAGTTCTTTTCATAAAACTCAACGAAACTGGAACGGTACTAAGGTTTTATTTTTTCATGTTTTATATTTCATTATTTAAAATGATAAAGCTTAGTTTGTTTTGATATTTCTTTCAGTTCAATCGAACAATTAAGTTGAAATATACTATGAAACTCAAAAATTAAATATTAGATTTCATTATGTGGAGACAGCGGTAGAAGTTAGACATAATAATTCAAGTTAATATTTAACATTCCGTATCTCAGCTTTATCCCGAGTCTAGCTTAGCAGACAACACTTAGAGCTAAAGGCTTTCGCCCCAAATTTCTACATTCAAGGATGTATGGGCGACATCTTAAATGGGCATTGCATTGTCTTCCCAAAGCACTAATGGTTCTGTGGTTGGGACAGAGATTTTCTTAATGCTATAATTGCTTTTCGTGCACAATGTCCTTTGAACGTAGCACTTGTAAATAGTGTGAAATATTTTAAAGCAAAATTGTATACTTGTTAAATTAAGTAATTCTTTTATACTGTTTTGTTGGGCTTTGATGAGAGTCTAAGTTGTAAAAAGGTAAAGTATTTGTATATTTTTGATAAAACATACATATGTAAGAGAAGAGGAAAAAAAACTTAAGTAAATAGTATTTATGAATTGCTTATTGTTATTATTCACGGAAACGTGGAAGCGCATACAATAGATATTTTAGTGATTGTATGTTTTTTAACATAAAAGCGTATTTTCTCACCTTTACTTGTATTAATGGGCGTTTGCTTAGGTCTAAGTATTTAAACGACAGTATTTATTGAATGAAATTATGAACTGATGCTTTTTTTATTATACACAAAATTCGATATTCAGACATTTTTTATACCACAAGTTTAAAATATTAACTGTACAAAAAAGTCATATTACCAAATAAATTCAATAATGCCAAAGATAGTCCTTAACTAACAGTGAAAGAAATACTTTTCTTGTAAAAAAAAAACAAAGTATTAAGGTAATTTTAAAATAATATTTTGATTTAGAATTTTAATATGAATATAATTCACATAATCACAACAAAACATGTAATAACTAGAGTAGATTTGTAAATTTTCGTGAAATACTAAAATGAATTTGTCAACATGCCTTCAGATGCTTTTGTAAGCCGAATTGTCGGGGTCTGAGGTTAGCCGTGTGCTTAACGTTGTTGATGTCAAAGTTTTAGTAACACGTGAGATGCCGCGGGCAGATGAAACAAAGCCTTGTCACGTCGCCTGAAGACAGCTGTCTCGACCTGAACTTGGGAAGGCTCTTTAAAATTATATCGCCTCTAGTAAACATGACGGAATCTTTCCGTTTTAATACGATTTAATGGTAGTTAGGACTTTGTATTTAGAAATAATTATGCAATGTTTATTTAAATAAATATTTTAATTGATTGAGCTTAAGTACCGTACAAGGTTTTAAACATTATGTTTAACTTAGATTGATTAAAGTCTTCTTCTTCCTGGAAATTTCCCAGCTTTATCCAGGGTCTGCCTTACATGTTTTATATAGTTTTAGCTAATTGTTTTTACGACCGGCCGCCTGCCTGACATCAACCCTCTTTGGGAATCAAGTATTAATAATATCACGTTAATTGATTAAAGCAACAAAAATTCATATCAATTTTAATTACTAAAAAAACATCGAAAACACCCAACAAAAATTTAAAAATTTGTTTAATTAGCATCAACGTCTCCAATTTTATTAAATTAATGTTGAAGTAACAGCGACCATAAAATCCGGGCTGCGACTATTAAGGTTACGCGTATGTTACTTTAATACACCGAGCTGTAATACATGTAAAGATCTTTGATAGAACATTAGCTGGTACATTAAACGTACAGAGAACGCTTTATATATTTATGATTCCACTTATTTACAATTCCAGACGTAACAAATTCGTATCTAGAATTCAAATTCACATTAATCTTTCATAATCAATGTACATGCTGTAAATTTACTGTTAAATACATATTTCACATTATTAACACGATGGGATTCCTAAAATATAAAGTTAATAATATGTTGTTATGCTTAGTTTTTTAAAAGTAAATACAAAGTCGTATATTAAACTTCTCTTATACTAAACAAAGCATTAATTCGACTTGGATCTTAATTTTTCCTAAATAACCTTTTTTCTATTTCAATTAATTAATATTTATGTACTCTCATTACTATTTCAGTTATGATTCTACTATATAAACTTTTTAAAATTAAAATCTTTAAAACTCATTACTTCTCTTTTTTAAGATTGTCATATTTTACGTATTGTGAAGTATATGGGTACAATATATTAAATTTAAACTATAAATTACGCCAACATATGACGTTAAAATACATATACATACAAAAGACAATGATTTAGTACTAACACGTAAGAACCTCGACTGTAGATGTATCATTATATTCTATCCATATTATTTTGTTTCCTTTTAATAATAATACATACATTCTTTCCTTTCTATATAATGCGTCTTTTTGAGTAAAAAATTCACATTATATAACCCAAGACTGCATTACAAGATGTGTAAAACAGTTTTCCAAATAACAATAAATATTTGATATATGAACCTCTTGTACATCTTAAATGTCAGTAAAGATCTAACGTTAGCATTAGTAAGTAATAGGAAGTAGAGAAGTAAGTAGCTAACATGTACTCATAAGTATCTAAATGAACCATTACTGTCTCGAGTTTCATAGTTTAAGCACATATCTTAAATATGCGTGTTGAATATTATGTCTTGTTTATTAGTCTTATAGCTTAGTTGTTATTGCAAATTATATGGTAAATATCGTATGTTGCAGGTTTGAACCCTGTTCGTGTAAGTCAATTTTATTTAAGAATGGTACATTAAAATTTGTTCTCTCGTCATAAATATTAATTATATTCTGTGAAGTGTTCAATTTGATAAAATTTTGACCATCTTTGTTACTTTATATGAGTTGTTGTGTATTTTATCCATATCTTGAGTTGTCCCATGTACAATACATTTAAATTTTATGATTCATGTTCATTTTATAATTCATGTTTACTTCAACATTGCTTAAATATTCAAAACATAATTAGAGAAATTATTCCGTCCGTTCCTAATAATTGCGTCATTAAAAATAAATGGTCATAGCTTTATAGTATTGCTTTTTTAATTATTTTAAGTATTACCAAATTAGTTTATATTTACATATACATGTTTCCTACCTTTTATTCTTTCTCTTATACTTGATTCAATTATTTCAGTGTTTGTTTGTATGAATAAATCCGATACAATATAGAAGCATTTCAATATTCCATTTTCCTTTTATTTCGTTAACATAAAATAGAATTTTAAGGCGACTGTACGAGTACAGTATAGTGCACTTTTACTATGAAACAAAAACAAATCGTATAATCTCTTTAAAGATACATACGAAGTAATAGTATGAAAGTGCTCGTATCCGGTATAAGTAGAAGTTATGTTAAGCTTCCATGAACACTAACTTCATATTATAGGAGCTCTCTCTTAACGGAGGAATAAGAAATAGTTAATAAGTATAAATTTTAATTTGATTTCGTTAATGCAGTTAAAATAATTCTGCATAGTTCACAATTAAGTTTAAACTTATTAATCTATTGCGTAATAAGAGTACTTTACAATATCACATCTTCTCATAATTTAAATGCAATAACATACTTATTCGCTGGTTCAGTAACTCTGTGTTATTAGATACGCATTCTAAGCTTGGACGTAACTTACCCAAGGTGAGACTGGACTAGAAAATAAAACGAAAGGAATCTAGGACTTTATTAAACAGTATAACCTGATGTAATATGTAAGATATTTTCTGTTGAATACGAACGATAGAATGGGGATGTTCGTAAGAACATTAATAAAAATACCTTGGAAGTTTGTGAATGTGTGTGTGTGTGTGTGTGTGTGTGTGTATGTGTTACTAATTCAGACTGCAATACGTCAAATACTAAAATAATAAATAAAAATAAGCTAAATCAAAATTATCTAGTAGCTACTTCAATTTCTTCTGACATGACATAGTAATCTTCTTTTACACATACGAGCACAATTGAGGAAGACATAGTAATTGAAAAATTATATTTGATACATAATTATGTTTAGATAATTTGTTTTTTAAATGATTTATTTAACATTTAAATTAAAAACAAAAAAAAAGAATGTTAGAAGAACTTTTAAAATACTAAGGACAATATGTAGATAATAACTAATTTAAGGACAAATTGTAGAACATTCGTCTTCATTGTGACCACAAAAAGCACTAATATAATAAAACTTTTCGATCCGCATAATTCTCATCCTCGTAGATGAGCTTCGTGGAGAGCCTCTCAGCCGGTACTTCCGATATGTAGCAAGGTATTTGCCAGTTTACATGTATATGGAGCCTCTCGCGTCTCGAACGAGCCCCGAGGCTTTCGCATAACAAATTTTATTGGCAGGAAAACAGCAACGTGAGAGTAATACACGTCATTTATAGAATATTTTATATAAGAAACATCACACAAATAAAACGACAGCGAAAACATATCTATAAAGTATCAACATTAACAAAACAACTATGAATATTACATACTTTAATGTGGAAAAATTAAGGATAATTAATATAGCTATTAACTTGAAAGAATGAAATTTCAATAAAGATTTTAATCTCTGTTTATAAAGATGGAACCTGATGAAACTTCATTATGTTAACAATGGGTGATCTTCTATAGGATCCGATGTTTTCATTAAATGAAGGCTTAACAAGAAATCAAACCGTACCTTAATGTATC